AACTTCAACCTGAAGTTTCTCCTGAATTTGTGGGTGACAGAGGAGAAACAGGACGCACCAACGGATGGAGTGTGCAGTCGTGTCGTTTCCTACTATGAACAAGTCCACGACGTTCTCCCGCAATCCTAATTCTATGGGAAATGCGAGTCACTCTAAATGACCACTTCCTTCGATCATTTTCCTTTTCCGCGATTTTTCTAGGAATACCGGAGAGATAATGATTGATCTCCCCTCGTCGCTTCAGTTCCTCCATTTCCATGAGATAGGCGTCGATGTAATCATTTGGTTCCCCAGACAATGGCAGGTTTTTCTTGTGTTCTTCCACCTCGTCCTTGGGGAGAGGGGATGAGGAAAGAAATATTATTAAAATATATAAACACAGGCATGAAATGAAATAAGAATTTGTTGATATAATAAATACTCTCCAGCAGTCTCTTCATATTAGGAGTGCCTTTGACAACAATTTTCGTTGTTGATACCCATAAGGAACAGTCGATATGAAGTGTGTCCGTTTTTCCAACTGCTACAATTGTAGATGTCAACACCTTGGAACTCAATATTCGACACCAACATACTACTCAGCATCGGCTTCCAAGAAAATTCTTAGTTAATCTAGCAATTTAAAATCCATTTAAATTCTATGTTCTTGGAAACAGGGATGAATTGTGGAAGGCTCAGGTTTTTGCCTGTTTTCGCCGCATGAACATTTTCGCTGGATTCATGGAACACGTTGCAGGCATCATGCGCCAACTCGCGACGTTCGAGGCGGTTTTTGCTAGTCCTGGAACGAGATTTCAATCGAATACCTGCATCTGGCTGCTTTCATGATGACAGTTTCACCGATTTCTTCAAGAAGTTCGAACGATATATTCGACTGCATTGTCTTCGGGTCGTTTCCGGGGAAATATCTACTCAAGTACCTCGGCAGATGTGAATAATGTGCGTATGTCCAAAAGTGTACTTCCGAAAAACGATGAAAGAGTGACTCTTTTTCCTTATATAAACATTTGAGCGATTCGTCACGGTTGTGAGAATACATAGCGTAGCATTATGGATACCGAGATTGTTTTCTTGATCGTGGTCATGTTGCGATGAATGCGGCGGTGGGCTCGGAGCGCTGGCGGCCAGAGGTAGACCAAGTTTGGCGCGGGGTGAAAGCCATCAAGGACGCGGGAATCCGCTAATACTTGGTTGTATTTATTCACGATGCCCTGCATTGTCGCGTCGCCTTGAAGGCTCGGAGCGCTGGCGGCCAGAGGTAGACCAAGTTTGGCGCGGGGTGAAAGCCATCAAGGACGCGGGAATCCGCTAATACTTGGTTGTATTTATTCACGATGCCCTGCATTGTGGCATCGCCTTGAGGGAATTGCCTGCCTTTAAGGATGGAAACGACAAATTAATGAAAGCGTGAATGTGAGGACCAAAATAAAATCGGAATATTTTTTCGATTCGATGAATGCTTCGTTGCGAACCTGCAATAATTTTCCAGATGATGTTAAGAACGGCGATATTGAGGTGTGGTCCAAGCTCTTGGGACTTGTGCTGATTCTCTTTCAGGAATTGGCAGAGATTGAGGACTGAGTCTTGGATGATGGAATCCAAAGCTTCCTCATTCCCGAAGCCGAAATTCTTGAAAATGCGGACGGTTAAGCGACGGTTTTCCTGCCAACTTCTCCCCTGCGAAAATGCAAGACCTGGAACGTGGAATCGAGGGTTCGTGATAGATTTGCACGCAAATCAGCATTACATTCTTCTTTCCTTGTATCGGGGACCCTGAAGAAAAAATATTGGATGTTCTCATGATGAAGAGAATCCAAATCGTTCGTCTCATCCAGGCATCCATAAACTCTTACCATTGATGATTTTTATATTTTTTTTTACAAAATATCATTTTCAAGGCTACGAACTGATCGGATGGCGGTTTGGCGCTCGAAAATCAATCTGCATACCGAGTTCCCCCGAATCCGGGCGAAGGAGAGGCAAGTCCGGCCGTCCTGAGACCTCCAGTCGACCGAAGAAGTCTCGGACGAGTTCCCAGTCGCTCAGGACCACGACCTCCTTCTGGAATATGCTCATTGTGAGGATGTCGCCGTGTTTCTTTCTCATTGCCGTCAATGTCTTCAACTCGTAATCTCCGTGGATGAAAGGGGCGTATCCGAGGATAGGGATGCCCCATGGGCCTGTATGCAAATGAGCAGTGATGGGTGAATTACTGAGGGATTTTTTAGACATTCGCTGTGGTAGTTGCATGGCTTCCTTGTCTGCTAAAATAAGAGTATAAAAAAGACTCACAGAAAGACTCACGCGAAACAACTTCTTAATTAAAACAACGCTGCACTAAGGTATCAATCCTTTAACATTCATTCAATGCTGATTAGATGTTGAAAAGCGCAATATTGACAGAACGTTGTCCGGTCAACGTTTCATCAACAGATGTCATGCGAGACATCTAGTGAGACATGCGAACAAATAAGATTTCCTGTCTGCGAACTGTGAGGGCGACTACTTGCCCAAAATAATTAGTTACCATATATATGCAAGCAGTCCGCGCCTCTGGTACTTTTGTGGCAGTACTTGATATTTTCTCCACAAACGATGCCAGGGAAGGAATTTGACTTCCTGAATATTTTCGACCAATGTGGCAACCCAACCAAACCTGACACAGGGTAATTCCGAACTATGTGATGGACACTGAAAAGTTGAGTTTATATTACCCCATGGTACCACGACGCCCTGTTTTCGAGGATGAATTAAAAACCATGATCACTGTCAAAGGGTGCATGGAATGAGGGTTGCCGCTTATTCACAGTATTTGCGAAAATTGTGTCCTGCCTCTGGAATGCCTCTTTCTCATCTCGGTATTAAGTTCGCATTGGGGAGATGGAGGGATCTTTAAAATGCGGATTCGGAGGATGGAGATCGTGTCCAGATGATATTCCAATTATCATTCAGCGATGACAAGGCGCATGGGCGTGAATTAAACAGATTGTTGAGATGTGTCATATCAACGTTGAACCATCTTGGTTTCAACTTTTCGTCAATGTTGGAGAAAATGGATTTTCAATGAGGAGTAAACGTTGATAAGCAAATGCTGAATCAAAGTTGCAATGCTGCTTTTGAACATTGATTCAATGTTGATATACCGCTGATGTAAACATTGATTCAAATATTGATTTAAAAAAAGAACTTTCAATATGGAAACAATGTTGACAGGCTGACATGGTTTCAACATTAGCTCCGTTGGCGCAATAAGGTCGAGTTAACGTTGATTCACTATGAGTGTGCAACTTTGGTCAATCGATTAATTAGCTTTAAATATATATATATATATATACAGGGTCAAGTGAGTCAAGAGTCAAGAGAGTTAGTGATATCAAGAGGCGATTTCGCCTATTTCGATATCACGTGTCCAGGTCGAGCGTTCCTTAATTTTAGGGTAGGCCTAACCCTCTTAAAG